AGCTTCCCGCTGTGAAGCTTCCTGCTATCCTCATGCTGCCCACCCTTACTCTGAATGAGTCCTAGAAAGTCAGGCTGGCTGGTGGCCTTTTTACCAAATTATCCCCCAAAACCCCATTTTCTTCTTCAAAGAGAGAAGTCATGGGCCCAGCTGGTCCTATTCTCACTCGTACACATCACAAATTTCCTCCCAACTCTCTATACCCAGCCCTCTCACCTCAAATCTCCTTCTTGCTCACAATAAGCCATCTGTGGAAATGCTGAATCGGCAGCTGTTGGAGTCCAACGAAGGCATGTTTATTAACTAAAATACAACCGGCATGTCTTCCCCTAGATGACACTTTCTGGTGACAGCTCTACCTACATTTTCATGTGCTTGTCAATCACATTCAGGACTGCTGCATACGGTTATATAGGTTACACACTGCACAACCCAGGAGTGCCATCCATGCTGTAGGGGTCCATTCATACATGGTGGCCCTGGTTTAGCTATGGGCAAATCTACTGATCAAACTGATCAGAATTATCCAATGCATTGGAATCGACCCGTAAATGGTTTCCATTAGTCAGATTCATGGTTACAAAGAGCTGATATTCTCCCAAAACACCAGATGGTCTATTGCCCTCCGATCATTCTCCGATCTTTCTCATTATCTTCAGGGAGAAGAGGAAGGGCTGGCCTCCCTTCATTCCACTGGGTCACTTTCAGAGCACTCGTGATCTCACTCCACCTCTCACCAGTCTTTCTCCATTCTCCCAAACTCAACCCAGTTCTTTTTCCTGTTATGTTTTTCCCCAATGATCTACTTTCATTCAATTATATGCAACAAATATTTAATTGAGCACCTGAGTGCTACACACTAGGCTAGGCAGAGGACTAAAAAGAACACTCATGTTCTCGTATCCCCATACAACTTTGACCCTGATGATGAAACATGGGCATTAAACAAATAATAAGAGAATTATCAATGAGTAATTATAATTCAGACTTCTTGGAGAGGATCACACCTGGCCCATAGTTATTTTTTTATTCCTTTGTTCAACATCTTCCACAACTTTAGAAGAACGCTTTGGCAGTTGATGCAATTTTCAACCTCATAGTTTCTAGATTTTACTCTATTGACTTTCACTCGCTTGCGTAACTGCTGCTACCCACACTCTGGGAACTGGGTAGCTTTCCTCACCCTTCGAGATGTTTAATCTGGTGCCCCTCATTTCTGGCCATAGAATTTCTCCATGCCATGTCTCCCCATCAACTCCAGTCACCAAGCCCACTAGTCGTTCCATTCATCATGTTTGGGTGCATTCTGGTTTAGATCAGTTTAGTTACTTCAGTGCAGCCTTTCTATTTACCCTGGACCCCGGCACCTGCCCTCACAAAGCCTCTCTACATTTCCACACAAACCCCATAACTGGTTTGCATTTCTCCAAGGTCATACCGATCCATCTCCCATCACCCCCCTTCTAGTCCACTCCAAACACAGCATCTATCATTTTTTGTCTCCCACCTCATTTCTATCCCCTACCCTGCTCAGAAACCTACAGGAATTCACCATTTTCTATTGATAAAATCTATACCTCAGCCTCTGGATCTCTAGGAATCAGCTTTATTTTTCAGCCTTAATACTCGATCCTTATCCTCAGAAAAATTCCTCCCCAGCAGCCTTTTCCCCTCCTTGTTCTCAGTATGTGCTGCACAGAGTGTCAGCCTATGCAAAGCCTCTCCATCCCGCAGGCCCCTCTTCCATGGGTCCTCCTCTGACATCAATCCTCTCCTTTTCCCACCTCCAAGCATGTGTTCTCTGGGCCCTTCATCTTAGCTCTCAATCACCTACCTTCTTCTTGTGGAGTGGCACTGTGTGTCTATGGTAAACTATAACCCATGTAGGACAAGATTGCTGGCATTGAGTGTATTTTCCAGCATCTAGTACAGTGGCAGACACAGAATCAATGTTTAATGAAGGAGGATCTTGAACTTTGAACTCAGTCCCTCCTGCAACAAACATGACCCTCTCCGTCTGGCTCTCTACTCAGCAGGCTTAGGCCCGTTCCTCTGCAGACTCTTTGAAATAACCTTGCACAGTCTGGAAGTGTGCAGGTAAGTGTTCAACTATCAGCTCTCCCAAAAACAAAGGAATAAGGAAACACTTGTAGTACCATTTACCAGTTCCCATGATATAAATACTCCTACCATAGCTGGTGTCAAGTTACCAATATGATGTCACTGAACATAGGGATGGAAAGGTATGCACACAATTGGCTCTTGGGAGGTAGTGTAAGCTGGCTCCAGCATACCACTTCTGGAAGGTCATATTACTTTTTCTCCTTAAATCATTAAATTTTCCTCTTCCATCTCATTATCCCATGAGTTTCATAACAAACTTACTTTTTCTGCTAGTTTTCATCCTGAAAAGCTCAGGCCAAAGGTTATCTCCTTTGAGAGGTCTTCCTGACCCTCTCCACCCCGCCTAGAACAATGCTGAGCACTGCTCTATGTTGGCCCAACACTTCATACACACCTGTGTTGTGGATGGTGTAAAATAGGGAACAAATTACTGGCCTGTTTGCCACTAAGACTGTCAGACCTGGTAGTGGAAGAGCAGTTTGTTCATTTCTGGAATGCCACATATAGCATGTAAGAAGTGTTCCGTAAAACTTGAAGAAACAAGTGAAGGAAGCACAAATGACTTCTGGTCCTTCTGTTCACGTTTTGTGACCATTGTGCACAGGTTTTGCTCCCTGCTCTCAATCTGCCCGGTGGCAGGTGGCTAAGAGAAATATTGTCAATTGCACTGTATAAATCTTACCTTACAAAATTATTATTATTTTTTATAACTTGATCTTCCCACCAGCTCTTTTACCATGAAGTGAAGTCAGTCTCAGTGAGGCAGGGTGTGGCAGAAGCAAGAGTGGGGACAGAGGAGGAAAAGAACTGGAGAATGGAGAAAGATTGATCCCAGCCAAGAGTGTCTTCTGTAAAAAGGGCATCAAGTTAAACGTAGTGAATCACAATCCACAGGAATTAGCTCTGGGATTTCTTAATCTCTAGGAGCTGAGTGTCTGGTAGAGGGTGGTCAGCAGCAACCAGGCAGAGGTCTTTATCCCAAGCTGCTGGGCATCTTATGAATTGCTAAATGTATCAATCCCTTCCCAATACCATGTGAGACACAGAGAGGACTGGGCATCTCTGAGCAGAATGCGCCCATATCAGCAAAGGCTCCACAAAAATGGAAGGAGAAGGATGGTGCAGGGCCATCAACTATCCTTATATAGGCGGCCAGCAGCTCACCCCAACTGTAACTGTCTGGCAGGATCATAAGTGAGAAGGGTCTTCACTCCTCCCCTTACAAAAATGGGAGGGGGCTTATGTGTGTTCTCTGGGATGAAACACAGGCCAGGCCACATCACTCTAAGCACATGACATAAATAACAACATTAAAATCACTAACACCATTACCACAAGACATAACAACAATGAATAACATGGGGAAACAAGGTGCAGGACTGAAAGCTCGCCTTCCTAAATTTACTGGAAAAATCTGAGCCCCTAAGAGTAATCCAATCTATCTGGTATCCAGCCTTCCAAGGCAAGATCCTTAAATATGTCAGCTTCTAAGGAAGAGAAAATGATCTGCACAGAAGTAAAAGTCGTGGTTCAGTAACATATTTAATGAAAGTCAATGGGAAATATGTAGAGACTCATGTGGATCAGATTATGGCCAGCTGGCTGGAACTCCTGAGGGGCTGGTGGGAGGAGCATGGTGTGTCTTGACAGGGAGAGTCCCAGTACCCACCACAGTGATGCCATGAGGTTGAGCTCTTTAAGAGGGAAACCAGAGCATGAAAATGGTGGCCTAATGGGTCAAGGTATCAAATGTGACTTCCAGTTTCACAGATGGCTTTTTGACCCCTCAGTGCATTAAGAGAGGGAGTGAATGGAAGAACGGTGACTTTCCCCCTAAAGATAATCTATGAAGTGGCTGTCCATAAGACTTGGACTAAATGTATTTTATTGAGTTAAAATATTATTGGAAGAGGCAACTCCATGACTCTCCAAATATATGAATAAAACACTTCTAGACATAGGAGCTACAAAGACTGCAGCTTATGAGTAAAGAGAACTTAAACAATGGCTAATAAGAATTAAAGAAGAAAAGACAAAGAATGTTTTAGAAGAATGTAAAAATAGGAAAGAGGACACGAAGCAAATGCATCTTTTAAGAGGATTTAAAAGATGCAAAGAGGAGGCAGTAAAGAGTTTACTTACAAAGTAATAATAGTTTGGGATATGTTACTCATTTACATTAATAAGCCTGGGTCCATTGCCAAATTGACTCAACTACTGATCCATCAGAAAAAGATGAAAATTGTAGATAAGTCTTTAGATAGGATTTCTTGAGAGCATTTCAGGCAGTTAGTTCTCTGCTGGGCTGGGTTTCTACTCCAATGCAGTAAGATGGATGAGAGCACACATGTTTCTTGGGAGTGGAACTTGTCTTGTGTTACCATCCATATCATAGATCTTTTGTAGAAAATATGGTTATGGGTGGGTATTCTTCTGGAAACAGTGGCTCTTCTTCAGTTCATCGTGATCTGTCTCCAAATGCATGTATGTAGGACAAGGATAACTAAAAATCTGGGAAGAAATCTCGGCCCAAAGCCATGGAGATATCATTGTCAGTGAGTGGGATACTAAGGCAAGTTCCTAAAAATGTCTATTTCTTTTAAAGTCTTCTCAACTGGTTCCCTACATCTTTTTCCTTATCTGAACTTGGTGGTCCATTTCCAGAGCTATTTCTGAATCTTTTAAAACTACAGCTGACTTCTCTGCAACATCAAACAGAGCCACCATGATCGAGGTCCCCAAAAGATCCCTAGATACACATTATAGATGTTTTGGTCTCATCGTCTAGGGAGAAAGATGGTAGAGAATACCTAGAGTGGTGGGAAGAAGATGCTTAGACACCAAGAGAACAGAAATGAAGGGGGGGAGAGCCATACCTGCTCCGATGACCTCTTCGATTTTCACAAAAGATACATCAATCTCCTTGGCAAACTCCCGGACAGCTTCGTTGGGGTCCTCATAAGTGAAGGGGTCAATGTAGATCTTCATCCCTGGGGAGCCTTATTGGAGGAGATAAGCAGGGTTAACATCCCAAAGAGGATATGGTGGCGATTAAGCACAGGCTGCTGTCCCCAGCAGTAAGGGCATGGCTGGAGGACTCTCTCCTGTACAACAGGCTGCCTCTCCTTGCCTTGCTAGGCCTCCCATCTCCCTTTCCTCTGGGCCATGCTAGCCTGGTTCTCTGTCCTCTACGTCTCCTCCATATTCTCTTCTGTATTTGAGCTCATGATGAAACGTGCAGCAGATTACTTACAAGTGACAGATCGGGACCAGTTCCCACACTGGGTGCTCACAGAAGGCACAGAAGCTGATTGATGCCAACCAAATGCATTAGCAGAAAAGTGGTGGTAAAATGGTAGGGTAGATATCAATATTTATCAACCTGACAACTTTCCTGAGTGGAGGCCACCGTTAAGGTTATTACTGATGGCTGTGTCCAGGGCTGGAAGAGGGATGAGGATGGATTTAAAAAATAATAATAAAAAAAATTTGCTATTAGAAAAACCTCAAGACGGAAATACCAAGACAGCATACCAGAAGAGAAAATGTGAAGAGAAAAACACAGAAAATACTGATAGAGAAAAGAGCAAAGTCTACATAGGAAAAATGAGGTGGAGTGAAAGAAAAATGGTAATTGAATCCCCATGACTTCAGACACACTGAAGTATGAAAAACGAATAAAATGGTGAATGTGAAATACATAAAGGAATATAGACTTTGTCACTGATGTTTACAGTAGCAAGATAAATAGGTGTGCATGGGGACAAAATAGAGAATTGTCACTGCAGAAAAAATGGATTCAAAAAGTTGAGGAGAGGGGACAAAAAAGGAAATGGAACCCAAGAAACAAATGGATTCATTCACAATGTAATTTTTCAACATGTTAGATATGCTATTAGGCAAAGTATAGAAATTGTTTTCATGGTGGTGGTATGTGGGAAGGTAGGCTTCGAAAGTTAAACGACACAGTCTAGCATTCCATCCTTGTGGAGCGGAGTCATTTTCCCTGCCCACTGCTCCTGTCTGGTTCATGGAAGAGCCAGATCAACAAGGCAAGCAGATCTGGAAAAACACAAGTGCTGTGTGCCCACAGCTGGGGCCCGAGGCTGAGACTAGGCCTCAGGTTCCCTGAGCTCCGCCCTCTCAGTGCAGCACCCCCAATCCAGCTTATCCTTGGGTGACTCCTAGCCCTTCACACATGGTCTAATTTTGACATTTTTCATCCAAAAAACTTCCGGTGGCTCTACACCTCCCCCAAGTTAATGTTGGCTTGGTCACCAATTCAGGCAAGGATTGAAAGTGGCAGAGTACAGTCCAGAGGGAGAAGAGAATACAACAAAGAATTGAAAGGGATGTTTCTCTAAAGCCAAAGAGAGCCAGCTGCCCTGCCCAGAAGCACTGCTTTTCCTGGAATATGGGTTTTCCCCAGTCATTAAAGAAAATCACACCTAGCATGCTAGACAGCCTGCTCTAGCGGGGGGGGTCAACACCATCCAAGAAGGCTCCTTGGAAACCTGGGGATGACGTCATTGATTTTGGAATCTGCTGACTGAAATGCAGACACAAAAAATAGAGAGAATGTTCTAATCCTGGGGGTGAGGGTGGCGGTGGAAGACTGAGAGATAGAGAGAGATAGAGATAGATAGATGATAGATAGATAGATAGATGATAGATAGATAGATTCTACTTTAATAACAGTGGATAAAGGGGAAAATAGAGAGGGGCATTCGTCTCTTTCTAGCTTGGTATGGAGAACAAGTGAAGAGCAAGGAGGACTGAAAACAGGTTGGTTGAAAGTGTCTAATGAAGCCAGATCAATCACCTCCAGAAGCAAACCTTGAGACAAGGTTTTGAAAGCACGTGGCTTATCTGGAAGGTGACCCCAAGAAGTCCCTGTAGGTGAGTGGGGAAGTAAGACGGGAAAAGGGAGGCAGCCGATAAAAGGGTGCTCTCAAGCCACTTACTGCCATGGGTAACTGAAGCAGGCTAAAAGCCCCCTCAGGCAGCTCTGAGCGCCAATGAAGGTCATCAAAAGCTTCAGAGTTGGTCCACGCTAGCAAGGAGTGAGCTGTAGTATTACCACATGATTCCCACCAGTCACTGAATGGGGTCGCAGGGTCTGCTGTACAGGTGGACAGGAGGCTCCATAGCCAGGCAGAGCGTTTAGGTAAATTGGGTAAAGATGGGTCAAGTGTAAGGTAATGGAAGAAAACTAGATTTGGGGTGGTGAGCACACAATAGGATATATGGATATCAAATTATAATGTTTTAATTATAATGTTAGCTCCTCTGCCAATGGGGGCAATAACACCTCCCTCCCAGGGTGCTGGTAATATTAAAGAACATATTACAAGTGCCATACCTAGTACAGTGCCTGATGTGCAGAGAGGGCCCACAAATTGATATACTCATGATAACGGTCAGTACGTTGTTCTAGGAAGTGCTTGATGGGGTAGGAAGAGGAAGCGAGGTGGGGTGGGCAGTGGGGGATGTAAGCCACTTAGGGTTATATTAGTTACTCTAAGAGTAACTACATTGTTATTTTAGATCAAGGGCTTTTAAACGATGTATGCTAAACTGTCCTACAGGATCTCTTTGGTGGAAACTAATTAAACAATCTAGAATGTGCTTTAATGAATAGTTTGCAAGTAAAGACACATATAAGGATGAATGAGAAAGGATTCTGAGTTAATGAGGTTTACAGATATTGGCCCCAATCAGTTCTGGGAAGCAGCTATTCCCAGAAGGGAATGGCTCATCTCTCGACAGTGCCAGGGTTCTTTCTAGGCCAGTAATGGGCAACTAAGTGCACCTAAATGGGAAGGAGTTCACACTTTCATGACAGGTGCAGTTTACTAGCGAAGAGAGGTTTGCTACCTTGCTGGCTTGTAGAATTAGGTAGTGTGTGTGTGTGTGTGTGTGTGTGTGTGTGTGTGTGTGTGTGTGTGTGATGTCACAGCTGCTCTTCTGGGGCCAGGGGTTTGATGGTCACTGAAACCTTTCACAAGAAGCTGAGGAGGCTGCAAGGAGCCTAGGACTGGTGATGCAATGTTAATTAGAATGTCTGGCCCCTATCAACAGTAGGAATCAGTACTTGCTTTCCCTGAAATTGAGGATACTGTTGTTATATTGAGGAAGGAACGTGGAAATAAAAAGTCTCACAAATAGCTTAAGCTGGGTGCTTTTCTTTTGATAGGGTCCCATCGCGTTGACCTAGGAAATGGTCCCAGCTGCCTCCCCTGGCCGGGGGAAGCCATCCATCTGCCCTAAATCAGAACAGTGATTCGGCTGAGCCTGTGCACACAATGGCTCCCCCTGCATCGCCTCGTCTCCAAATGACACATCTCTCCAGGCTTCTCTCCCGCATAACAGCTAGCCTTTCTCAAGTCCCAAAAGATGATGAGAAAAAAGAATGCCTTTAGCTAGGCAGCGCAGGTCATTTGTCTTTCGGCTCATTTTGTGTTTCTGCATAAATCCTGCATCAGCCTGTTCCTGCTCCCACTTGCCAGCGAGCAGTTTTTAATTATCAGGAAAATGGTATTTAGTGCAATGAATCACCAGGCAGTGAACAAGGAATTCAAGTCAGCTGCCGAGTGGGGCAGAGCCAAACATTTGGAGACAGGGCTCGGAAAATGTTCTCAGATTGTGAGTGTTGGGGAAATATTATTAGTGGCAGTAATAATAATATCAAATATAATATAACTTGATAATGGAAGGCATTTCACAATGCTCTGCCCAATGCTTCACATTATTATTGTTAATATTGTATGTTTATAATTTGTAACAGTTGCCAATTATTTTTAACATAGGCTACATACGTTTGGCACAAAAATGGTATGTGTGGATCTCAACTTCTGATTGCTAATGCCTGGAGAGAGAAAAAAAATTTCTATTTTATGATCTTGTAGTTTACTAAGTTGTATTAAAGATCTAATTTATAAATGTTTGTTTTTTTACCTCAAAACCCACTTATGCTGTGGCTAGGGTCATAGCCTAGCCTGCCTAAAGCTTTAAAGGATCATAGTCCTCGAGGATTTGCCAAATCTTAAACATGAACCAAGGCTTAAATATATTAAGCTTGGGGAGAAATGATTTAGCCACAATCCAGAGCCTTCCAGCATGTCACAGAGCAGTCGCCGAAGCGGAAGAAACGCCTAGCCATTGTCACAGGCCCTGAAGTAGTAGATCAGGGTGTTGTCAAAAGTGAAGAGGCTGGAACAAATTCTGGGGATGTTGGCAGATGTGTGGAGTGTATCTAAAAGGTCAGTTTACAAGCTTACAAGGGCTGGGTTGTCAGGGCAGAGCAGAAGTGGGCTGGGGAAAAGCCAGTTCCAAACAGTCGGCAACAGTTAGGGATTACAAACTGCAGGAGAAGCTGACTGCTCCTCTTTAGCCCTCTCGTGCACTCAGAAAATACAAAATCAGCACCATGGGCATTGTGTAGGTCCATGGAAAGCATGGCTGTCTAGGAGGCTTCAGGGATGCCAAGAAGAGCTGGTGGAGAGGCCTAGAATCCCACAGCATGGTTCCAGAAAGGTGGTCACTTAGGCTGTTTTCAGCCATGGATATCTTGTGTCACAGCAGGTTTCATGGAGCCATGAAAAAGTGGCAAGTGTGTTTCCTTGGTCCCCACTGTGGATCAAGGCAGACTTAGTCATCTTTGTGACTCACTTAAATCTAAGCACAAAAGGGAAGCACTTTAGAGATCTGCATATGAAATCCAGTCCCTGGAAGGGATTTCATCCTATCCTCAGTCTCAATATCTTGATCGCCTCTCACTTTTCTGAGCACTGATGGGACACCCAAACAGCACTGTCCTAGGGACCATGGGAACTACAGGAAAAACAAGGCTCGTGAATTTCTTCAGGCAATTAAGACATTAAATAACAGGAGTACAGTGCTAAAGAGTCTAGACTCAGAAGCCCACACCTGGAAACAAGCTATAAATGCTGCAGAAACCAGAGAAGGCACAGTTGTATAAATGCCAGTCTTCAAGGTC